GATGGAAGGGTGTAGAGGAGTAGTCATGCTCCAGTTTTTCATGGTGGTCAGGAAGCAGGGGCCACAGGGAAGATAAACCTTTCTGGGGCATCACTCCAGTTACTCTCCTCCTCTAGCCATGCCCCATCTGCCTATCGATACCATCCAGTTAGTTTAGTCATACTAGGATGAACTGAATAGGTCACATCTCTCATAATCTAATCACCTCTGAATATCCTTGCATTAACATGGGAGCTCTTAGGGGACACTCTGGYTGATTAGAGTTCGAATGTCTTCTACCCATAATGCCAGCTCTGGAATCTTCATTCAGCTCACAGCTTTCCAGTACTGGGATTGTTATTCTCTGCATTCATTTACTGCTCTACTTCATGTAATCTTACCTGGATTGTGAATATTTTTAACCAAATATCCAAGAAGACCCACCCCTACCACCCCATTTTTTAAAGATATTTCTTCTTTAGGATTCTGCACTATGAATTCCAGCCATACTTGTTGCCTTGGTCTATAATCTCTTTTTTTCTTGTTTCAGGAATACCACTGTGTTCCCTTTGGTCAATTCTTCTTTGTGTTCTGCTCCAGAAAGTGCCCCCAGACAGAAAGTGAGGGTGAGCGTCAGACTAACCTTGTTTCTCTTCTCTCAAGGATCATTCCTTGACTGGATATTTTAATTCATTATCTGAAGACAGCTGTTTCAGATATTTTGACCAGGTTTTTAATTGTCTGCAGTGAGAGAACATTGCTTTGTCATGGCCAGAAGTCAAAAACCTCATATTGGCTTATTATGTTCATTCACAGTACTGGGGATCAAACCCAGGGGCACTCTACCATTGAGCTACATCCCCAGCCCTTCTTATTTTGAGACAGGGTCTTGCTAAGTTGCTAGGTTGATTTCGAACTTGTGATCCTCCTGCCTTAACCTTATAAGCCACTGAGATTATAAATGTGTGTCACCACAATTGGCTTAATTTTTCTTTTTATATAGCATATGTTAACAAATTATTTCTTTATTCTAATATTAACTTTGTTTATTCATTTCTAGTGTTAGGAATCAAACTCAGGGCCTTGCACATACAAGGCAAGTATTTTACCCATTGAGTTACATCTCTAACCACTAACACTAATTTTAGATTCTCAAGAATGTTTTTCAACTACTACTACTTCTTATTCCTCCTCCTCCTTCTTCTTCTTATTATTAATCATTATTATTTACATTGTTAGGGATTAAACCCAGGAGCTTGTGCATCTACTTTTATTAGATATTTTGCTATGTGTTATGATTTGGATCTCTATTGTCTCCCAAAGTGTCAAGTGTTGAGGGTTCCCAGTGCAGCAATGTTTAGAGGCCTTTGATAAGTGATTGGATCATGAGGGCTCTCATGATCTCTGCAGTGGAGTAATCCTGAATATCTACTACTGGAGATGCTAGAAACTGTGACCTGCTATGGTTGGAGGAAGGTCACTAGGGGGCATGTCCTAGAAGGGTATTTCTTATCCTCAATCTCTTCCTCTTATACACTCTGCTTCCTGGCTGCTATGAGCTGAGCAGCTTTCCTATTCCACACCCTTTCTGCCATGATGGCACATGTGAGGCACTGGGTTCAATCCTCAGCACCATATACAGATGGGTAAAATAAAGGTATTTTATTGACCTACAGCTAAATAAAATAAAGGACTATATTTTTTTTCTTAATATTAGGAGGAAAAGGCCAGGCACAGTGGCTCACGCCTGAAATCCCAGCAGCTTGGGAGGCAGAAGAAGGAAGATTGCGAGTTCAAGCCAGCCTCAGCAATTCAGTGAGGCGCTGAGCAACTCAGTGAGATCCTGTCTCTAATAAAATACAAAATAGGGCTGGGGATGTGGCTCAGTGGTCGAATGCCCCTGAGTCCAATCCCTGGTACTATATATATATATATATATGAGAACAAGAGAGGCAGGAAGAACAGAAATGCCTAAAGGAAATTATCAAATGTTTATCTTTTCAAACAATTCAGCAAACTCTATTTTTGGAGTAGATTTTCTTTTAGGTGTGTGTTAAAGTGATATGTTCTGTATTACATATACAGTAAATTAAGAGACTACCCTACAGGTTATACTAAAGAAGATCTTTTTATGTCAAGATTAAAAAACCCATATTTTTCTATTTTATCTTCTAGTATTTTCATAGGTTGGTTGGTTTGTTTGTTTTCCATTACCAGGGATTGAACTCAGGGGTACTTTACCACTGAACCACATCCCCAGCCATATTTTATATTTTATTTAGAGACAGGGTCTCACTGAGTTGCTTAGCATCTTGCTTTTGCTGAGTCTGGCTTTGTACTCGCGATCCTCCTGCCTCAACCTCCCCAACTGCTGGGATTAGAGGCATGCACCACCATGCCTGGCTCACAGTTTTATGTGTTAAATTTAAAGCTTTAATACTTCTATAGTTTGGATTTTTAAAGTTCCTCAGGGCTGGAGTTGTAGCTCAGTGGTAGAACACTTGCCTAGCATGTGTGAGGCACTGGGTTCAAACTTCAGTACCACATTAAAAAAATAATAAAATAAAGATATTGTGTCCATCTACAAATAAAAATATATATATATTAAAAAAATTTCCCTGCCCACGTGTTGATGGTTTTGTCCCCCCACCCCTACCATTGCCCAGTTGGGAGGTGGTAAAACCTTTAGGAGTCAGGACTTAGTGAAAGGAAGTTAGGTCATTGGGGGTGTGCTCTTTACAGGGATATTGGGTCACTGGCTGTTTGTCTCTTTGCTTCATGTCCTCTATGAGGCAAACTGCATTCTCTGCCATGTAATCCCACTGTTCCCCAAAGCAACAGGGTTAGTTGACTATGGACTGAAATCTCTAAAACTGAGCCAAAACACAACCTTCTTCTTCCTTCTTGTCCTCCTCCTGGTATTCCTTCTGTGTGTGTGTGTGTGTGTGTGTGTACACACTAGGGATTGAACTCAGTGACACCCTTCCACCGAGTTATATCCCCAGTCTTTTGTCTTTTTTTTCTGTTGAGGCAGGGCATAAATTGCCCAGGAGAGCCTTGCACTTGCAATCCTCCTATCTCAGCCTCCTGGGTAACTGGGATTATAGGCATGCACTACCATGCCTGGCATTTTAATATTTTTTATATAGCAAAATATACCAAATTTTTAAAAACAATTTGTGTCTCCCTCAGAGGGATCCATCTTACAGTAAATTATATGTTTATTAACTTATATAATCCTTTTTAAATTTGAACCCAGGGGGACTCAACACTGAGTCACATCCCCAGCCCTTTTCATTTTATATTTTGGGACAGGGTCTCATTTAGTTGCTTAGGACCTGGCTAAGTTGCTGAGGCTGGCCTTAAACTTTGATCTTCCTGCCTCAGCTTCCTGTGTCACTAGGATCACCATTCCCAGCACTGTTCTGCTTTTTTTAGTTATCTCTTGAAATGTTTTTGCATTGGCATCATCTACATTATTAGATTTTCACAGACATGATTTTCTATGGTCAAAAATTTATTCAAGAGATGGGGATGTACCTCAGTGGATGCATAGCATATGGGAGGTTCTAGGTTCAAATCTCACCACTGCAAAAAAAAAAAAAAAATTCAACAAATTTATTGAATGGTCACTTAAGTTTTGGCACTCTTTCTTGGGGTCATAAGGGTATGACCCATCCATCATTCAGGGACTTGAATACAGTTTACATTTTAGATGTAGCAGGAGACAATAATAAAGATTATGAACAAAATAAAATAGGGAGACAACTCTTATAGTGGTTACTGAGGGCCTTAACAGAAGAATGCAAAAGATATGCATGTAAAACAGTTACATTTTGGGCTGGGGTATAGCTCTGTGATAGAACATGTTCTTAGCATGCATAAGGCCCTAGATTCAAATCCCCATCGCTGAAAACAGCGATACATTTCCATTGAATGGGTCTCCCACAATTTACTTAACCATTGTTTTTTTGCTTTAGGATTTAATTTTCAGTGTTTCTACTTTTTCACCATTATACTAAAAAAAATGTAATTAGGAACAACTTGTGTATGGGATAGTTTCCTAGAAGTATAATACTAAATAATCAGAATATGTCGTATATGCTGCTAAATTGCTTTCAAGAGAGAATTTTCCATTAGTATGTACAATTTTTAAGTTTTTATATATCAGTTAAACTTTTTTAAGGTGCCAAGATATTGGACAATGGTAGGGAGAGCACATGCTCTGCAGGCACAAGGCTTTGAATCAGGTTCCCCAGCAACCAAAACAAATCTAAAGCAAAAAAAAAAAAAAAATTTTTTTTTTTTTTAAAGAGGGAATTCCAATACACTCACCAATGAGAGTGACCTGAATAATTGCTCTGTAAAGTGTGACCAGTCGTATCTGTCAAAAAGCCCTGTGTGGGCTCAGTAAAAAGAAAAGCTAAGTGTAATGAGTTGACCAGGTTTACCAGTGAGGAATGACAGGGAGATATACAAGGCATTTGCTTGTGAAAAAGAAAACCTGAATTCTAAAGGCATTTAGCCACCCGGTGACCCTCATAGGTTGCATTTCTTCCTGAGTCTTAGTTTCTTAAAATTTGGGTAGATTTGGCTCAGTTTCATGGTTTCCACTGTCTTCAGGCCAAACATTCTATAACCCCTCCAAATTCAATAGCAACTTGTAAAAACTGGTTTACAAGAGAACTGACTGAATATTCACCCACAGAACGCCAAGTAATCACTCACAGGTACTTCCGGAAGGCCAGGACAATGAGTTTGAAGTCCTTGGGACCGCACTTCCGGATAATTAAAGCTACGTCTTAGATGTCAGTACGTGAGCCGCCGCCGGGTGACTCGGCAACGCTAGTGCGCATGCTTCCCGCAGGCACGAGGCGGGGCGGGGCACTGGATGGGGCGGGACGGGCCTCTGACTTGTCTCGTGGTTACTGGGCCAGCGCGAGCGCGCGAGGCTTGGGGGCGGGGCGGGGCGGGGCGGGGCCTAGCCCGTGAAGTCGCCTTAGGTCTCTGTGGAGCGTAGTTGTGTTCGCGGGGCTGGGGTTGTCTCAGGTGAGGAGGTCGCGCCGGAAGTGGCTCTGGCCGAGGCGCCTCTATGTTGTACGGAGCCTGCGCGGGGATTTGTTGTTAAGGGGGCGCGGCACCACCCAGTTGTCTCCACTTCCCATTGCAGCAGCCATGGCGAAAGGCAGAGTTGCCGAACGATCGCAGACTGGAGCACTCCAGACGACCCCAGTGGGGGACGGGAACGCGGGGACGCGGGGCCCTGCGGCGCCGGGGAGCAGAGACCATGTAAAAGGTGAGTGGACCCGGCATCTGGAATTGAGGGACTGACCTAGAGACCTGTGTTTCGGGAGGGATTCCGGAGGAGAAAGGGGTTTTAAGGAGTAAGAGGGAGTCTGCTGACGTCTAGGGACGAGAAAAAGAGAATGGGGTACTTGGGCTTGGGCTCCCTGCGCAGCTCAAGGCCAAACGCTTAGTAGATGAGTCTATTGAATTCAGTTGAAAGAAGGAATAACACCGGCTTATTGACGATTGATAACGATGCTAGCCAGATCTGGAAGGAACTTTAGCAATGGTTGCGTTGTTTTTACAGATGAAGATACTGAGGCCCAAGGTCGGTACGTGACTTTGTACCTACAGAGTCTCAAAACCAGATTAGTAGCAAGGTCTTGATCTTCTAGGTGCCACTTCCTCGTGCAGGAACACCTGGATTTGAGTCCCTATTCTGTTATCTACTTGGCACCTTGGACTTGTTAACTTTAAAAAGCTCAGTCTGAATTGTGAAATGGGAATAACGTATCTGTTTAATCGGTTGATGCATGAGTTAAACGARATAATTCACATAATGCTTGGCTTATATAAAGTGGGGTCTAAGTAAATGTTAAGTACAATTATAGTTAAGGTCACTCATTCCAAAGCTATTTTCCCAATACACCATCCTATAATTTCTTAGGCTTTAAATATTATCGTAAGGAGAAAGTACCTAGAAACTAAGTTGATTCCATCTTGTTATGAAGTTGTGCATTGCTTTTCAGCAGTTGAAATGATTAAGCTCTTTTAAGTTAAAGTGTTTCTAACATATGACCTTTTAAATTGTCAGTAGCTCCCTCACACTGGTTTGTTCCACCAGTAAGATGGCTAAGGAGTTTTTTTTGAAGAGTGTACAATGGAAAATGTTAATGTATTTAAAATAACTTTAAGTGTTTTCAACAGTCTAATTTAACTCAGTAAGCTTTGGGTATTTTTTCCAACTTATAGACATGGAGTCTAATAACTTTATATAAATTTAAAAAACTTAGAAATGTTATTAAAGTGTAATTTTGCTCTAAATTAAAGGAACTGTGTTTTGAAGAGTACTGCTGAGAGTAACTCTAAGATTTTCATTTGGCTTGAGATGGTGATCAGTATTTTTTTTTTTTAACCTGAAGCTATTCAGAATATAAAACCTTGAAACTCCCAAGGTACTTTTAAAATGATTTATCTTATTATTAGAACAATACATTTGGCACACTTACTCTTTTTATGATGCTATGGAATGACCTGCAGAATGTAAATCTCAGAAGACAAAGGGAAGAAGAGCTATGAAAACCTGCTTCTGTGGAGAATAGGGGTTAGATAAGTAGGGAGAAAAAAAGGGGATGTTGGGCTTGGGAAACAGGAGACTTAAAGGTCTGTGTGAATCCTTTATGCGTGTCAGTGAAGAGATAAAATTGTCACTAATGAATGGTTTCTGTTGGGTTATAGTAGGAGATCAAGGTCCTATTCTAAATGGTGTGAGATTACACTAGGCAAGGAAGTTTTTTGATCCAACCTGTTTTATTGATGAGTCCCAGATTTTTTCTTTTCCTCTTTTTCCTTTTCTTTCTCTAATTACCATTAGAGTTCTGTTTATAGGTAAAAGATTTTGGGGACCTCATGATGGGGTTTGGTTTACTTGCTGATGCATTAGTAGCTACTTAGCAACCGATTTTCTAGGATTTGAAGACAGCATTTTAGTAATTGCAGTTGGTAACTAGGCCTTCAAAAGAAGGAAAGGTTTTGAAGAAGAGATAATTTTTTTCATAACTCTTAATTTTTTTTTTTAGTTGTAGATTGACACAATGCCTTTATTTTGTTTATGTATTTGTTTTATGTGGTGCTGAGGATTGAACCCAGTGCCTCACATGTACTAGGCAAGCGCTCTACCACCGAGCCACAACCCCAACCTCCAATTTTTGTAACTCTTGCTTAAGAAAGACATAGTAGGGCTGGGGCTGTAGCTGGGTGGCAGAGAGATTGCCTAGCACATTTGACAACTGGGTTTGATCCTTATCACTGCATAAAAATAAATAAAAACGGGCTGGGGTTGTGGCCCAGTGGTATAGTGCTTGCCTAGCATGCATGAGGCACTGGGTTCGATCCTCAGCACCACAAAAAAAAAAAAAAGAAAATAAATAAAAAATAAAGATATTGTGCCCACCTAAAACTTAAAAATAAATAAATAAATAAATAAAATAGGGGCTGAGGATATAGCTCGGTTGGTAGAGGGCTTGCCTCACATGCTTAAGGCCCTGCGTTCAATCCCCAGCACTGCAAAAACAAACAAATAAATAAATAAAATAAAGGCGTGCTGTCTATCTACAACTACAAAAAAATAAGAATAAAAAAAGAAATACACAGTAATAAAATATTTCTTTAATTCCATGATGCGGTGAATGAATTTATATTTTATTACATGACACATCTACATAACTTTGACAAAGGGTTGTCATGTGCAGTTTTGAAATATTTTACCTTCTACCTGCAGTATTTGGTGCATTTAATGGATTTCTTGCTGTGAGTTGGGTCTCTAAGGTCTGAGCCTAATAGACTGTGGACTACTTTGAAAACTTGATCAAGGAAATAATACTGAAAGTATGATTCTTTCATAGTGAGGAACACACAATAGAGAGAACCAGTTAGGCTCTAAACTTATCCGTCTCAGAGTGTCTGGACTGGAGTATGTTACTCTCTTTTGCATTGTTTGCCCTCACTAATTTGTTTAGCCAGTTCTCCRTTTTAATTTAAGAGAACTCTTAGGACTATGTTTTTTAGTAAGTAGTTCATAACCCCTATGAAGGGTATGAAATCAATTTTATAGATAATAATGAGCATTTAAGGGGCTGGGGTTGTGGTTTAGCGGTAGAGTGCTTACCTAGCACAAGTGTGAGGCCCTGGGTTTGATCCTCAGCACCACATATAAATAAATAAAATAAAGGCATTGTGTCCAACTACAGCTAAATAATGATAATGAGCATTTTTAAAATGGAATAGAAAATATCAGTGCTTTGTAGTAGGGATCAAGTTATTTTTTAAAATCTTTTTCAGGGGTTGGGGTTGTGGCTCAGTGGTAGTGTGCTCGCCTAGCATGCATGAGGCACTGGGTTCAATTCTCAGCACCACATTAAAAAAAAAAAAAAGACAATAAAGTCCATCAACAACCAAAAAAAATTTTAAAAAAATCTTTTTCAGTTACATAGATTTTTGTGTGCATCAGATCATGATATAAAAATTATTGCTTATTGTAAAATATAGTCAGAAAAATTTGAGCTGGGCCTGGTAGCACAGGTCTATAATCTCAGTGACTCAAGAGGCTGAGGCAGGAGGACTGTAATTTCAAGTTCAATACCAGCAGTTTATTGAGGCCCTAAGCAATTTAGCAAGACCCTGTGTCAGAATAAAAAGGGCCGGCCCAGGGACTCAGGAGGCTGAGGCTGGAAGATCACAAATTCAAAGCCAGTCTCACAATTTAGCAAGACTCTATCCCAGAAAAGGAGGGGGAGGGGCTGGGGTTGTGGCTCAGTGGTAGAGCACTGGCCTAGCACATGCAGGGCCCTGTGTTTGATCCTCAGCACCACATAAAAGTAAATAAATTAAAGATTAGAGGCATTGTGTCCAGTTGCAAATAAAAAATAAATATTTTAAAAAATGGATAGTAAAATAAAATTAAAAGAAAAGGAGGAGGAGGGGGGCTAGATATGTAGCTCAGTGGTTAAGTGCCTCTGGGTTCAATTCCTGGTACCAAGAAAGAGTATAAAGTTTTAGAAACTTGGACTTGGTTACTCAGGAGCCTGAGGCAGGAGGATTGCAAGTTCCAGGCCAACCTGGGCAACATAGTGAGACCCTGTCTCAAAACGAAAAGGGCTACCAATAGAGTTCAGCTGTAGAACAGGTGCCTCGGATGCCTAGGATACATAAGTCCCTGGGTTCAATCCCCAGTACTACACAAAAAAATAAAAATAAAATAAAAAGTTTGAGAAACACTATCTTGAAGTTGGTTTTATTGCCCCCCCCCTTTTTTGATACTAGGGATTTAGCCACAGAAAAACATCCCCAGTTCTTTTTATTTTTTATTATGAGACAGGATCTTGCTAAGTTGCTGAAGGTCTTACTGAATTGCTAAAACTACCCTTGAATTTGAGGTCCTTTTGCTTTAGCCTCTGGGATTACAGGCGTATACTATCTTGCCTGGATTGTTTTATTGCCTTTAGAAGAGAGTATTGTTCAAAGGTTTATTTAGCTCACAGCTTTTCGGGTTTAAGCACATGGCACTTGTATCAGATCAATTCTGGAGAGAACCTCATGGAGGATGTCAGTGGTTTGAGACGGGAAGCACAGAGGGCTGGGTGGGGCCAAAATCAAATTTTTGTAACATTTCTTTGGCAAAGACTATCTCTGGAGGGAATGCCCCCACCAGTGACCTAAGGACCTCCCACTAAGTGCCACCTTCCAAAGTTTCCAGTGCTTCCAGTAGCACCACCCTGTGGGCAAAGCCTTCAGTCACAGTGGACTCTTGGGGGACACTCATACTATGCTCAAACCTTATCAGAAAGATATTAAGGAAAGGATAAGAATTTCAGTCAAAGATGCTGATTCAGATGATACATGGTGTCTGGGCTGGGCATGGAGGGAAGAGGAGTCCAGCTAAAGGGAGAAAATCAAGAGAGGAAAAACCATAAAAAGAGAAAAGGTGATATAGGACTGAGAATGCTTGCTTAGCCTGTGCAAAGCTCTGGGTTTGATCCCCAGCCCTGAAGAAAGAAAAAAAAAAAAAAAGTGGTGAAAGAGGTGATGAAGGAATGGAATGTTGGAATTCATTCATTTTATTTCTATGGTACTAGGGATAAACCCACAGGTGCTCTTCCACTGAGCCTGATCCCCAGTCTTTTTTTTKTGTGTGTGTGCCTGAGAATGATTGAACCCAGGGGCACTTAACCACTGAGCCACATCCCCAGCCCTTTTTGTATTTTGTTTAGAGACAGGGTCCAGCAAAAGTTACCTAGGGCCTTGCTAAATAGCTGAGGCTGGCTTTGAAGTTACCATTCTCCTGCCTCAGCCTCCCAAACTGCTGAGACCCCAGCTTTTTTTTTTTTTTTGTTTTGCTTTGGTACCGGGGATATAACCCAGGGCACTTAATCACTGACCACTCCCCAAGCCCTTTTTTATATTTTATTTACAAACAGGGTCTTACTGAGTTGCCAAGTGCCTTAATAATCTGTTGAGGCTGGCTTTGAACTCAACAATACTCCTGCCTCAGCCTCCCGAGTTGCTGGGATTATAGGCATGTGCCACCATGCCTGCCACCATGCCTGCCACCACGCCTGGCAATGCTGGCTTTTTTATTTTATTTTGAGATAGGGTCTTGGTAATTTGCTCAGGTCAGTCTAGAACTTGCAATATAGGAGGATCATGATTTCAAAGCCAGCCTCAGGGGCTGGGGCTGGGGCTCAGTGGTAAGGGTTTGCCTAGCATGAGTGAGGCACTAGGTTCAATTCTCAGCACCACATATAAATAAATGAATAAAATAAAGGTTCGTCAACAACTAAAAAAAAAAATTAAAAAAAAAAAAAACCATCCTCAGCAACAGCAAGGCACTAAGCAACTCGAAAGACCCTGCTCTAAATAAAATCAAAATAGGGCCTGGTATGTGGCTAAGTGGTAGAGTGCTCCTGAATTCAATCCCCAGTATCTGGAAAATTAAAAAAGGAAAGAAAAAATCTATGAGGCAGAGTGGATTATCTAAATGAATAGTGAAATCTTTTGGGATTATGGAGAAGTTTATTGTAGGTTTGGTCTTAGTTTTTAGTAAATGGAAAGATATACTTGAAAATGGGTAGATGACTGTGAGTGAGGGTGTGTAGATTGGATGGTAGCACTGTTGCAGGGGATTAAAACTAAAGAATGAGCTTTTAAATAAGATTGGGAGTGCTGATGTTTCTACTGCCTATAAACATGCTTTGTGTGTTATTTAAAAACTGATGGTTTGTATCTTGTAGTTATTTTAGTTATTTACATTTATATTTTAAAGTGATACAACTTTCAAATCTTACTAATTTTTTAAAAATTTAAAGCCCTTGAAAGCATTTACTTCAAACAATGTTACAGTGTATTCTGTGACCTTCAAAGATGTCTTAGTCTGTGCACTTATGTCCTGAAGAAAAATGGATCTTTTCTTTCCTTCATGGTAGGGTCAAGTAGTTCTAGAAAACACTGAATGTTGAGAACAAGTGGGCTAGATGACCAGTAAGAGCCATTCCTAAAATCTTGTAGGTGTTGGAAGATTTTGCTTTCTAAAATGTTTTAATATGAAAGGAGAGAATTACAGAGCTGCTAGAGGGTAATAGTTAATTTATGGGTTTCCAGGATGGATTTACATATATTAGAAGTTAAGAGAAAAGGTGCATGTAAGAGAGAGAAATACTGAATGTGTTGGATGAATGGAAAGAGTTTCTGTGGGGAAGTGTGTTGACAGTTAATGAAAAGGAAAGGAGGACAGATAAGGGAAGATAATTTCATTAACAGACATCGGGGAGCTCGATAAAGTAGAAGGCAGTATCATTGGTTGCAGGTAGAGAAAGGTAGAATTAATAGCCTGAAGGGACTTAGAATAATCTTTTAGGATAATGCTATAAAAGGATTCATCATTGATAACCCTGACTGAAGCTAGGAAGGCATATGCACTTTTTCTAATAGTACCTTTGACCAAGGGGGTTGAAAAAGCAGATAATAGGATAATTCAGACTAGGAATCAGTATGATGGAAGATTTGGAAGTTAATGAATATAAAATAACAGGAAGAGTAGCTACAAATGCTAAAGACACATGCTTCTAATGCAGGCATAAGAAGACACATAAATATGTAGGCTATAAATTTAGATGTAAATTATAAAAACAAAATTTATAACTTTTATGTATAGGGCTGTAATTGAGGGCTGGGGTTGTGGCTCAGCAGTAGAAAACTTGCCTATTATGTTTTTTTTTTTTTTTTKCAAGGCCTTTGGTTCTGATCCTCAGCACCACATAAAAATAAATAAAATAAAGATATTGTGTCCATCTACAACTAAAAAACAAATATTTTTTAAAAACTATAATTGAATTAAATTCTAATCTCTGGATTTATTAGAATTATATGGAAGGGTTATTGAATCATAAGTACCAGCACTCCCTTTTTGCTAGTTTGCATGAAAGAAGAGCCTCAATTGTCACTCATTCTTTTTGCATTCTTTTAGATGTTTTCTTGTGTTACTGTTGAACACAATTGAGGCAGGAGGATCTTGTGAGTTCAAAGTCAGCCTTAGCAACTCAGTAAGACCCTTTCTCTAAATAGAATACAAAAAAGGGCTGCAGATGTGGCTCAGTGGTTGAGTGTCCCTGAATTCAATCCCTGGTACCAAAACAAAACAAGACAAAAACAAAAATTATAGTCTTTTAGTCAAAACTATTTGGTCAAAAGGAACAGAAACACTTTAAACCAACACAAATAAAAAGGAAAGCTGTCCTGCTGGGATTGGGGCTCAGTAGTAGAGCACTTGCTTAGCATGCATGAGGCACTGGGTTCAATCCCTAGCACCACATAAACAAAATAAAGGTATTGTGTTCATCTACAACTAAAAGTATTAGAAAGCTGTCATAAGAATAAAAATGAGACAATTTCAGTGGCATCCATGAATAAGAAATGAAATATAGCCAGGCTTCAAGGGAAGTGGAAAGTTAGAAATCAACAAGTTTGATTAGGTATATCTCTCATTTTTTTTCTGGATTTCTATTACAACCTCTTACATTTTGTGGTTCTTGTCTTCCTTACCATGTGTTATTGACTATGTCTTCCACTGTTTGACCTTTAAGCCCTAACACTCACCAGCCTTTTACAAACAATAACTCTTTTTCTTAGTTCAAAAATTTCAAGGGAAAAATATAGTCAGCCAATAATAAAGTGTTTCCACTTGGATCAGATGTCCAAGCTTAGGCTGGACAGCCTTCTGTGTTTATGAGGAGAGAATGTTAGAATCACTTGGTAAGATTAGGCTGCTGAGATTGGCTCGTTTGGGTGACCAGGGAAGGTTGTTAGTTCTAGAGGAGGAGAATGTGGGTAGAACAAGTAATGATACCTGTCTAATATACTTTAATATAAACTTTTATAAAAATGATTTGCTAAATTAGAGGAGTCCAGGCAGTTCAGCACTTTTGTTTAAGATATTTCATGAAAGCTACATGGCCAGTAGTTGGAAGGGGATGTGTGGTGGATCCATTCTCAAGGGACTAAAAATCACGAATCCTAATTATAGCCCACATATTTTAAAATACCATGTTATCGGTATTATACTGTGATAATGGTAAATGAAGGCAATGAAAAATTAAGTCACCCACTTCTACCTCTTACCCAGTGAGCCTGAGTGTTAAGCTGTTCTGCTCTTACCACTATTGACTGCAAACTGGCAAAACTGATCTGCTCATTTTTCTGTTTGTTCTTTACTGAATCTTTATTGGATCTCATTGTATATTTTTATCTTGCATATAATTAAAAAATATAGATATTTAGTTGTTGATAGACCTTTATTATATTTATTTGTATGTGGTGCTGAGAATCAGACCCAGTGCCTTACGCATGCTAGGCAAGTGCGCTACCACTGAGCCACAACCGCAGCCCTTGCATATAATTTTTAAGATAACAGAGACTACCTTTTGAGGAGATGTAAACATTTTTCCATTCTTGGAGTCATAGAAGAGAACCACTCAAAATATTTTGATGTTTGACTTCACATTCTAAAGTTACATTAGTGAATGTGTCCTTAGATCAATTGAAGTAACTGATTTAATGTCCCAGTGTTTTGGGCAAAAATGTGAATCTTAATTATACTTTTTTTCTTTCTTCCAGAAAAAGCCTGGGCAGAAGCTGGGTCAGCAAGAATGTCACTCCTTATATTGGTGTCTATTTTCTTATCTGCAGCATTTGTTATGTTTTTGGTATATAAAAATTTTCCTCAGCTTAGTGAGTAAGTATACTGAGAGAGAACTGAAAATGTCTAGATATATGTGAGATGAAAGTGAATTAAAAGCTAAACTTTTTAAGCAACAGAACCATCATGATGAATGTGTCAGCTCTCATAGCTTGTAGCAAGTTCATATCAGCACTGTTATGTAAATACTTGTTTCCAAATTTTCTTCTTGATTTTCTGTGCAAGGTTTTCACAGCACTGTTTTTCTAATTAAGACCTCACCTTTCGGGCTGGGGATGTGGCTCAAGCGGTAGCGTGCTCGCCTGGCATACCTGCGGCCCGGGTTCGATCCTCAGCACCACATACCAACAAAGATGTTGTGTCCGCCGAGAACTAAAAAATAAATTAAAAAAAAAAAATTCTCTCTCTCTCTCCTCTCTCACTCTCTCTTTAAAAAATAATTTAAAAAAAAGACCTCACCTTTCTAATGGCTTCCAAAAATTTTTTAAAATATAACTACAATAGGAAAGACATTTTAATATCACAACCCTGCACTTGAGCCTTCTCTCTCTCTGTCTCTCACAATTGTGTGTGTGTGTATATTATGGGGTGTGTGTGCCAGTGATTAAAACCCAAGGGCACTTAACCACTGAGCCACATCCCCCAGCCTTTTTAAGTCCCCAGAATGGAAAACAGCAATAACAACAATGAAGTTTTATGAAATAGATGATGGTTGTAATATTTTCTATTTGTTTCATTTATTGTTTAGCGTTAGTGACCACGTAGGTTTATTTTTATAGTATATCCTAGATATTGACTGTGGTTTGAATAAAATGGTATTCTCTTCTTTTTTTCTGTCCCTGTTTTCTCCCTTTGTATTTACTCTTCCTTGCTCTCAGTTTTTGTCTGCTTTTATTCATACATTTCCTTTTTACTACTACATCTCCATCTTCTAGCTTTTTCCTCCTATGTTATAGAAGTCATCTGGTCTGAATAGATACTTTTCTTTTTTTTAATATTTATTCTTTAGCTTTAGGTGGACACAATATCTTTATTTTATTTTTTATGTGGTGCTGAGGATCCAACCCAGCGCCTCACGCATGCTAGGTGAGCGCGCTACTACTTAAGCCATATCCCCAGCCTGAATAGATACTTTTCACAGAGAAGTTTATCTTGTAAAAGACTATATCTAATACACATCCATAATTTCGTAGCAAAAACCTTGGTAAAATGTGTTTCATAATTTGGAAATTTTCCACTTTGGAAGGATAACATAATATTATGTGATACCTTCAGCAGATCTAAAGTAGCTTCTCATAATCCAATACATTAATATCTATGCAATAAAGCCTACATGGTAACACTAAACATGATAAAAGACTAAGTTCACTGACAAGTTTTTGCTGACAAATTATAAAAAAATTTCAGTTTTCAGAATTTTTTTAATCTTAGGAAAGAGATTAGGACCTGAAACATATTTTAGGAGGTCAAAATATCCCAGGGCTATTTTACTACTGTAATACCACCCTGGTATAATAATAGATTATATGAAGAATTATAGGGGCTGGGGATGTGGCTCAAGCGGTAGC